ACTGTAATGTAAATAAGGTATTTGTCATAAATTGTACATTCAACAATTCAAGCTTAGCCTTCTATTGTTAAAAATGGTAAGGAAAAAGTTTTGTTACCCCAACATTAGATCATTTTGATATTACATCAGCCGCCACATGTTTCCAAGGATTGGACCAACAATGCTAAACAGATCAAGACAGGGCAACTTACCATCTATTACCATGAGGCAATCTCACAGACCACCAAATACATTTTTACAACATCAAACTGAAGGTTATTTTGTGTTCATGGTAACTTATGCACAACATGGCCAATTTCTTGAGACCTTGCTTTTGAACCCGTGCCAGGTTTAAAGGCATATTGATTTATTTTTTTGGGGGGATATTAAACTGAATCAAATTGTGTTTAGATTACTTGTGGTTAAGCCCCCTAATGAATTAACTATTACAGGGGTTCTCAAACTGTCTTGATGGTCAACCACTTAAATAGGCTAAGAAATGTGAATAGTAATTAGAGCATCTAGTTAAAAATTGGAGAGGATAATTGAAGGAGAATCTGTTGTTTTATTAAATCATTATTCTTACCACCTTAAACCACACAAAACAATGCAATAAATTTTGAGAATCACTGAGCATGAACAAGACCCCAGACCTACAGTCTTTTTTTAAATTCAGATAAAAGTATATACATTTGATTTTTCTCTGTCAAAGACCTTAAGCCAGTTCAATTTACTAATAAGTTAGGTTAGTAAAAATTAAATTAAATGCAATGCTTTCATGTCAGATGTCAGTGCAGACATTCAAAACAAACACACACAAAAACGTAGCCATTACAGGGGGAAAAAAATTTAAATGCCAGGCAAAAAAATGTGAACACTCATTTCTGACTCATTTTAACAATATGTTTTACACCATCACCAAGCATATCGGAAGGCAAAATACAATTTAAATGGATTTAACAACATGAATCATGCATCTGATTCCAAACGCCTTTCATGGAGCATTAATAAATAGTTCCAAGGAAAAGGTGCACCCAGGGCAAAGCCAGAAAAAGGGATCTTCTTCCCCCTGTTTCATTAATATATCTACAAGTGTGTATATATATAAATATAATTTAAAGTTTTGGCGCTACATGGGGCTGGCTTCAGAGACAATTCACCGTTTGTCTCCCTTTATTAGTTCTAAAACAAGGTTTGAAAACTGCTGCATTATCTGAATATTTCTGTGACAGCAAAGAGGTATAAAATCTTAAGAAAAATCATTTAACCCTCAAGGACAAGGGGAGACAAGTCTGGACTAGGGGAGACAAGTCTAGACTAGAGAGGTTAGCTCCTGTTCCAAAAATAGAATGTAATTACTCCTCCTCTCACCATTTTCCCATTCAACAAAGTGAAATCATAATTTTGATGATAACCAAACACTGCTAGCTTCCAGGATTCTGTTCACTATTTATTCACTAACTTTAAGGATGGAAAAAAAAAAATATTGAAATTTTATATTGATTTTTGTTGGGCCCCTTTTGTGGACTTTAACAATGGAAATTTGGTTTAGAGATTATTGTCATTTTTTTTTTCAAGGAAAGAGCTCAATTGATTAAATTCTTAAACTAATAAACTGAAAAAAAATGTATAAAATTTAAAATCAGCTTTGCTGTGACCATAGAGCATAAGCAGTCCTAAGATGTGTCCAAGGAAGGGGCTATTATCCCGATTGATGCCCAGTGCCAGACAGTTGTGTCAATGTAATTGTAAGAAAGAGAACCCTTGAATGATAGCACTGGATTTACATTTACAGAATAATTAATTTTTATGGTACATTTTTAGGACAGAAACCTGTAGCCTTACATGTTAATGACAAATATATTCAAAGAGTCTCATGAAATAATAGACTCTATACACACTTATTAGCTATATCATGGGGGGGGTTGCACCATTTTTGCAATCGAAAAATAAAAATAAAAGTAATTTTAAAGATAATACACATGATATTTAAAATACCAGTGCTTGACCAAAGAATGCGTTACCAGGTGATTAGATCATCACGCTCTTTCATCAATACATATTTGAAAGAGAAATCTACAAACATAGATGCGGGGTAATCAAGATTTATATAAATTTTAACACTGTCAATTTATGAATCTTGCACCATGTCATGTCACACAGGAATCCATGCATTTAATGGGACTATTGCAAAAAAGTTTGTTTTGACATTTCAAAAAAAAAATATTTTTTTTGTAAAGCCAAGGGAAGTAATTGAATATCACAGACATTAATTAAAAAATACATTTCGTCAATTATCACTTTGGAAACGTTAGGAAAACATTACAGCATACAGTACTAAAAACATATAAACATAAAATCAAAATAAATATGACCAAAAAATAATAAAAACTACTGAAAATGTTGTTCATGTTGTTCAATATAGTCTGTAAATTTGTTTGAGTAGCCTCAATGCTAAACCTTAAAAAATCTATGCAATATTTAATATATATTTCAGGTTAATAACAGACACTGGAATGAATTAGATTTCATTAAAATACAAAAAACTCTGAAACAAAAACCTTTTTGAAGCACCAAAATTAAAGTGTAATGAGATTTTTCTTAGTTCCCAGATCTTTGTCAAAAAATTCGATGAGATAATCACCATACTTATTTTAAGTTCCTTGTAGGCCATATATCAAATCAAAATGACCTCAAAAATTATTATTGCAACGTTAAGTTAGGAATTCTTTAAAGTATAACATTTTAAAATCTCACTAGGTCATCTATCATCAAGGCACCAGCGTCATTCGTTGTTGAAATCAGAAGACTTAGCACAATCAATCATTTAATCTGGTTTTTTTATGGAATACAAAAAAACTTTTAAGTTTGACATCCCCAAATTGAAAGGCTCTCATAGCCAGAACTCTATGCATGGTCAAATGATGAAGACAGTGAAATTAATTAAGCCTCCATTTACAGCCCAGGATACCATTTGATAGTTGTCAGAAAAGAGAGTCAGCATAAGATAAATGCAACTAGTCAAGTGAAACAGCTCTGACAGAGCAGACAAATTCAAAACAAGAAAAGAACAACAATATTCAAAATATTATTTTTTTTTAAAGTCATCTCACAAATATGAAGTTGATCATTTTCATATTTTTTTTTAAGCAATGAACTACACATGTTTTAATAATGAGGCAGAGCTGAGTAAAATATTTATGCAATTAATATTTAAATGAATAAAGATTTATATGAGAGTGAAGTTAAACCTGAAGCATGGAAATATTCATACCTCAATAAATTATCATAAAGTATGTTGATAAATAATTTCATTTTAATTTATATGAAAGAAAGAGAGTCAATAAAAAAAAAAAAGGGGTATGTTGATAAATTTTAAGTAATATGGAGTAAGAGAAAATGAAACAATGTACCAGTATGTCCATAAATCACTTGAGTTTTGGTTGTATGAGAGAGAGAAAATGTAATGAAGTATCTCAATAAATTATTACAATTCCCGGGCACAGAAACTTTAGCCATAAACACTTGTAAGAAATGGAGGCGTAAAGATTGACTACAATATAGCTGAAATATACCCTCTAAGGCTGAATCGCACAAAGTGAGTGTGGCTAGGATGAAAATTAATGAGGGAAAATAAATGAGGTGTCTTTAAACTAAATATTCTCTTACACTTTTATGAATTTTGATGAATAAAAGGTGGGACACTGATTAAGCCTCTGCCGTCACGCAAACCTAGATGAAGGATATACAAAGTTGTCTCATAAAAATGACTAGGAGTTCAATGCGGCACACGTAAGGGACCATGTCGTATCGTAATGTTAAAAAAACAAGCCTAGTTTCTTAGCCTAGATCTAATACAGACATTATGAATAATCTTGTTCTTCAACGTTTAAAAAACTTGAGAAAAATTGTTTTTATCATATCAACTAATTTCTTTTCAAAGAAGAAATCTGATCCAGCTGATGTTTAAAATATATCTGTTGGATTACAAATATTCCCTTATACGGCTTATGACACTCAACCAAAATCAATACCATGATTTATGGGAAAAAAACAACACTTAAAAAAATCTCAGAAAAATCCATTAAAAATACCCCCCACCCCCCCAAAAAAACAATCAGATCAGTAACTTATAAAATAAGACACAAGACAAATGAGAGTAATGCAAGACAGGACACATAAGTATGAAGTATATTCAGATGTTTATGATGACACTGAGAGTCAATCACCCCATACCTAGACTAGGACAAACATATTTATTTTAGCTTGCAATCTGGAAGATCCTCGGCGCTCAAGATATAGATGAGTGAAGATATGTCAGTGATGTTGATATAAACAAAAATAAGTTAGATGATAAATAAGGGGCTTGTTTCTCATCCAAAACTTTGTGAAAAGCAATTAGCTTATCTGACATGGATTATTCCAACCTGGTTGATAAGAAGAGGTATACTGTTCAGTTAAACTTGGATTTAAAAAAAAAGAAGTATGTTTTTTAAATGACTAATCAAGGAAACGTTTAAATATCGCGCTTAAATTGGTAGCGATTTTCATGTTGTTTCAAAATGAGGGTGAAGCTAATATAATACTCAATGCTTGTTTGTGATCAAATATCGCACAATTTTTTAGTTTCTCTACATTCAGTAGATGACTAGCTCATTACTATTATTCTAGGCCGAAGGCAAACTATTTTCTGTTACTTTTCATCAGTCTTCTGTGTATAATATTTTAATAGAGTTAATTTGTACAGGCAGATTCAAAAACTTGCATTTTTTCTAAACAATAGGAAAAGTGCTGAGATAGTGAATGCGTTGAGGTTTCAAATAAACTGGCAAAAATGTAAAATAGAAATACCAAAAAATGATATAACAGTAGTACAAAGAAACAGACTGTCATAAAAATGAAACAGTTTTTTATTTTTTTTTTTTTTTTTTAAAGTTTTTTTTTTAAATTTTTTAACAAGATGTTTTTAATTTACTTTAAGTTAAAGGTCAAGTGCATCACAACAAAACAGTAACTAAGCCAACTATTGAACGAGAGAAAGAATAACACAAATATAAATGTTAATGTTAAAATTTTTCATGTTTAAAAAAAATAATAATAATCAATAAATAAATTCACGTTAAACCTGTAGTTTAACAATAAATGCAAACACCGACTTAACTATTCTTTTTTTAAATATTAATGCTGCTTTAATTTTTCTTGATCCTTGGGAAATGCAATTTCTTTAATCTCTATCGGATCTCATTTTTATTTAAAGTTGAAACTGGAGCATTGGAAAAAAATAACCTGGTAGCCAAAAACTTTTTTTCATATGGAGAACTTGGCACGCTGTATTAAAGGCGTAAATATAAATATGCCTTAAACTTATCAATTCACATTCATAAAGCAAATTTTATCTGTACAATGACTTCCCAAGGGAACTGATAATTTTCAACTTATCAACTTAGGAAATATTGATATGAACAGTAAATAAATAAATTAATATGTTTAAGTATAAATAGTATATATATTTATTTAAATTTATTTAAAGTAATATGTACAACCCATTAATTTATTCTTCATATATTTGTAATTTGTACAGCTCTAGTATTTAAATTAAATATTTGTAATTTGTACAGTTCAAGTATTTAAATTATTTGCTATACACAAGAAAAAATATCACTGCAGAACAAGGGTAAAAGTCAGAACAATGTTGAAATGCTGATGAGTATGGGGAGGAAAAAAAATCATGATTTGTGAAGAATATTCATTGGCATTATTTTATGTGCTGAATACTGTGTAGTTAAATATTGCCATTACTGAACACACACAAAATATAACATTTTGCAGGTAATAAAATGTTTTTGAAAACATTGAATGCAAAACTTAACTAATTTTTTTTTACTGATTTTATAGGGTTTTTTGGTGGTATTTTTATGACTTTCTTACAATAAGAAGAGTTTTGAAAAATTGAAAATATGTTCATTAGTTTTACTGGGAGTTTTTAAGAGCTTGATGTTGGGGGAGGGGGGGGGGCTGTAAAAATATATTTATATATTTGTTTATACTCTTGTTTGAGAAAATGAATAAAATGATGGACAAGTTAAGCCTGATTTCATGCAAACTTTTAAAACATTATTTCAGTAAATTACTTTTAAGAGCTTGATGTTGGGGGAGGGGGGGGGGGCTGTAAAAATATATTTATATATTTGTTTATACTCTTGTTTGAGAAAATGAATAAAATGATGGACAAGTTAAGCCTGATCTCATGCAAACTTTTAAAACATTATTTCAGTAAATTACGAGCTCTAATTTACACAGTAACAAAGCGGTTAATCTGATATATGACTGCAGTTGGTTTTATAAAGCAATATAGGGTTGGATGCATATCTTATAGTTACCAAATCTGAAAGAATACTGGCTCTTTCATTATTTTTTGTTTTAATCTCAGTTTCCATGTAAGGAATGATTACCAAAACATTTTGCTGGCAGCAGTTGATGTCTTGCAGTGGTGTCCTTTTTTCTTGTGGGCTGCTAATAAATTAATCTCAAATTTACAATACACCTCAGATAATACTTGATAAGCATCCAGCATGAGATGTGAATCAAACACACATATTGGTGGAAAAAATATATTATATATACACATATACACATACGAGTTGGACTACTTGCATGCCACAAGTGTTATTGCTTTATAAATAAATAAATACAAATATGATGTAATAGATGATATGCTTGGAGAAGAAAACAAAAATATTTTAAAAAGTGGATAGTAAAACAGTTCCTTAATCCTTGCACAAAACAAAATACACTGTAATAAAAATGTACTATTATTGTGGTAGATTCTGGTACATATTTAAGCTCTAGTAGAATCATATATGTGGTTTACATGAAGACTTTATTAACAATACTGATAAAGTTCTTTGGGTGCAAAAGTGGATATTAGAACAAAGTTATACCGCAGTATCACATGTTATATAGTTTGGGGTGCTGTGGCCACTAGAAGAAAACAACAATTTTCAAAGCAGTGTTCAAGCCTGATATTCAAACACAGAATACAAACCACAGCATTCATAATGTAACTATAGATATTGAATTCTTAGCGATTAAATAAATAAATGCAGAAACATTCAGCAAGTTATATGTGCTGGCAACACTAAACACTCTATCAAGTGTGTCACTAACACTCACAAAAACAAGCCACAGTCATTTGGGACTTGTATTATTGGTTTGTATACATTTGTTATTTGTGGGAGTAGAAAATAGTAACCTCCCCGTCAGGGACAAGTAAAGGAGTTTCATTGCTATGCAATGAGTTAATTAGATATGTATCATCAATGGACTTGTGCAAGATAGGACCAAAACAATATCCTTCATGCAAAAATAATAATAAAAATGGAATAGCAAAAGAAATGTCTTATTGAAATCATAAGTGATAACTAAACTAACCATTTTAATCAGTTCAAATAATTCTTATCAATTCCATTTAGCCTTTGGCTCCACCAAATGATTTACAAATACTATTATAGAGACAGTAATAGGTTATGGAAATTTATTAAATTTGTTCCCAGCCTTCTATTATGTTTCATACTGAATCTAAAAATAATAAATCAAGATCCATCCATACAAATTTTGTTGTAAAGTAATAGTTGACTTTCATAAACGAATAAATCTTTCAACTACATGCTTCTTAAGCTTCTTCATTGCACATCTAACTTCTGTTCATGAAGTGAATAATTCTTCTAGAAAAATTAAATTTTATTGTTCAAGCTTTGAATCTCTGAATTTGATCAATTTTTAAATTTTTTTTAAAAAAGTAAAAATTACTTCCTTTGTGGCGTCACTTTCACTCATTTCCTTCTTTCAGTTCTAGATGCATTTTTTTTACAGTTTGACAAAACATTGAATAATACTGACATATTTGGAGCTTACATGCAGAAAAGGGTATTAAAACTGGGGAGGGGAGAAGTCCAGTTTACAATTTGGTTACGATAATGCTCTTTTTGTCCCTTGTTTTATTGATTTCATTAAGGAAGCTGATTTCTTGGTTCTCACTGCTGAAATGGCTGTGGTCATAGCTGCCACTCTCTATAGCAATGAGCGGCTTGCTCAAATCTGTATCATTTAAGGTGTGCTTATCTCCAAAATTGTCTATCACGGATTCACTGGCGAAACCCAGTTCTCGGGTCTCACCACAGCTCACATAGCTAGACAGACTGCAGCAGCTGAAGCTCTCCTCGCAGCTTCCGTAGAGTGCAGCCCCGCTGGTCTCATCGTGGATGCTGCTGAGGCTCTGAAAAGAATTTGTGGCCATGCTGTGGTTTACATTGCAATCCGAGTAGATACTGTCCTCATCCAGTTCATCTGATCCTTCCCCCACACCTGATTCCAGCTGATCTTCGATACTGGACTCACGAATCCTTGCAGTCTCCCTGTTGCAGTAGCCCGTGGTCTCACAAAATCTGGGGCTGACTAGTTGCTGTCGGAACCTTCCCTGGCTTATCAGGCTCAAGGGGTTCCAGAAGTCTAGGCTTCCCAGACTCCTGGTACGGCTACAGCCAAACCTGGCTCTTCTGTCGCCGGCCATGGATGTGTCCCCTATTTCTTGGTTGTTGCTGCTGACACTGAACCGGATCTCATGCTCTTTCTCCACAACATCACTGCCATGGAGTGATGCCTGGTGCATCTTTTCCGCAGCCTTCCTAAGCATGATGGGTGAGCAAGGCAGTGACTGGCTTTCTTGCTTTGCGCTAATATGACCACCATTGAAAGATGATGTCATCTGGTCGGCATATCTCCCCAGTGATGCAGCAAACCCGTTAGTGCTGATGCTGCACTTGCGCTGCCTGGGGAACTCAAGCACTTTCCGGCCATCCTTGAATTTGTTCAGTGAGGCGAAGGGGTTGGCGTTTGCTGGGCAATAGTGTGGGTCATCTTTGGTCATTGCCTGAGCAATAATCTGAGGAGTCATCAGAAGGTCCTCTCCGGTCACTCCTGTTAAACTGTCACTGCTCTGGATGATGTTGTCTTCGGATCTTGACCTTTTGTGAAGTTTACCTGGGGTCAATGAAATGATAATGATGAAATTTTATCCCCAGAAATTAAGCCAGCTTTCAATTAAATGATAAAAAGTTAAAACATTTTTTTTTCTTAAGTTTCCTAAACTATGTAGATTATAATAAGGAAATACTTTATAAAGTTTACTAAGCAAATGATGAATGATAAGAAGAGGGAAAAAAATCAACTTTTGTAACTGATGTTTTATTGACATTTCAATCATCAAAGTGTAGTTGAGTATGGCTTGAGTTGAGGAATGTAAACTCATACAAATTTACAAAGTCAAGTTGAAACAAATACAGCTGATCAAATTGATCAGTGTAGCCCCCAGCCCTTCCAATGAAGCACAGATACAAACATCTTGCCATTCATTGCATAGCTTTGCTAAGACTTTAAGACCAACCTTCAGTGTCTAAGCACCAAGATTATAAGAACTTGAACTCTGTAATGAGTGAGCTAAATTTCAGAAGGTGGCATGTCTTACCCATGTTACGTGTGAAACATGATGGAGAAGTTTTTTGGGTGAACTTGCTTTTAATCCTTCACAATTTTATAACAAACAAACCCAATCTTAGTATTAAGTATGGTACAGATTACAAGGTATGCCACAGATTACAAAGTATGCCACAGATTAAAAGCTATGCTACAGATTACAAGGTTTGCTACAGATTTCAAGGTATGCCACAGATTACAAGGTTTGCTGCAGATCACTTAATTTTACAAACATTATTTTCAGTAATTTGTAAATTATAATAAAACCTAAAAAATTGGCATACCAGAGTTGGCGGCATTGGTTCTCAGATTTTGGTAGATCTTCTCAAGATTGCTGATTATGATGGTTGGGCTAGGTCGAAGGTCAGGTAAAATCTGGGGATAAAGAAAAAATATTTGTGTGCCATGCACTGAATTAACTGTTGATCAGGTACCCGAAAGATAAACTGGAAGTCCAAAAAATGACATTTAGTTTCATCAATATTGTGCAAGACTAAATACTAGGTATTCTTTGTATTAATAATAATAATAATAAAGTTTATTTGAAAAACACGCTTCATCCCCAAAAGCTCGAAGTCCGGTAAAAAGTCAACCACATTAAAAAGAGAAATAAAAACAATCTAAAATTCACCACATTTAAAAAAACAACTGCAACAATATAAAACTACATACGAGCATACCAAGTCAAAGTCTTTCATCCCATTTCAACCATAAGCAACACAAGCCAATATACATAAACTGAAAAAAGATGGTAGATAGCATCACCCCAGAAGGTGTTTGCGAAATAGATGTATTTTTAAATCGGTTTTAAAGGACTCCAGTGTCTGGCTATTTCTGAGAGCGACTGGAAGGGCGTTCCAAATTGTTTGGCCGGCAAATGCAAAAGTGCGCTTTCCGTAAGTCTCAAGGCGAACACACGGTATCGATATTTTGCCACTATCGGATGAGCGGAGCTGTCTAGTGGCTACATAAGGCGTCATGAGTGCTTTGAGATAAGACGGCATCAGGTCATGTAAGCAGCGGTAGCACAAAGTTGCAATTTTGTACCCTATGCGAGCGTGGACCAGCAGCCCTCTCAGAAGTGTTTCAGCATGGTCAAATTTGCGCTTGCGAAGAACACATTGCTTTAAAGATAAATACTTCAATAAAGACAAAAACTCTCAATGAACTATTCACTGATGCCTCATGAAAAAGCTCATTGTACTTGTCATTCAAAATGTATTACTAAAATAAAATAAAGAACATCTGGTATCTTCAGAAAGTGATTAGCCTCATTAATGCGACTATATAATTTCTATACAGAGGCATTGCTGCGCCACTAACAGGGATAAAAAAAATTAGTCTCCCCTACTCTGTGTTATCCACCTTTTTAAAAATTAAACAATAATGATACACAGTGGATGAGAGAAACATTCATGACAAAGGTAAAGAGCTTCAGAATGATATTTAAAATAGAAACAATGACTCAAGATGTTCAAAGCAAAGTAAAATTCATGAAGAGCATGTGCACTTGCTAAAATAAAAATTAAAAAAGGTGTAACCAGTCGTTGTGTCAAGGAGTGATGTTACATGTCACAAAAGTAGCAATGGTTAAAATAAATGTTATGTGACATTGTTTTTTTTAAAATCATAACGTCCACCTTCAGTAGTGTCCAAGTTAATAATTTTTTTTTTGAAGCTTCTTTTGATCCCTGTTATTTCTCTTAAAATATTTTTATGATTCACAAGTATTAACTCATTCAACCCCAGCAGTTCAAAAATATTAATCATTAAAATCTCAGTCAAAGAGGAAGAGCTCTCCATTTACCGTAAATGGGTGATAAAAAGAATTTCAAAAGAATTTCAAACAAATCTAATTTGTGATATGATTTATAGGTAATAAAGTGAATTGCATTTATAACTGGTTGTTTTATGTTTTATAACACATTGTTCTTCCATAGATTTGTTGCATAAGTACTTTAATGTCAATCAATGACAAAATACTCAAATATTCATGATCATAGCCATAAAAAAATTAATCTTGGCCCCTTCAATAAGAAGACCCCAAAATAACAGTAATCTCCCTTGTTTTCACATCCTGATAGACATTTATTTTTATAACCAGATTTCTGGTGTACACACTGTTTAAGCCAGTCAGATTTGGCTATCACGGGGTTGAATCAGTACCTGCCAAGATGTGTCTGTTTTGGGTTGAATGGATTAATGCAATAAACCTGAAGCGTGGTAACAAGTTGTTGTTTTTTAATGATCTTTTCAATGTCATATGCTGCTGTACTCACCTGGCAACATTTAAAAGCAAGTTGTAGAAAATCCAAAGGGCAGTAGTCCACCATTTCACAGAATTTATTATAGTCCACACCAAATTTCTAAAACAAGTCAACGTTTGAAGTTAACGTTTCAATGCTTAAAGTTAATGTTTCAAAGTTAATCTATGCAACCAAGACATAACAATATTACATTCACTTGAAGGAATTCATTATATAGAGAATACATATTTATTATTAAATTTTATCCAACTTCAACTACAACATTAATTTAGAACTATGTATTAATAATATAAAAGACCAAACGAAGATTTTATTTAATTTATTTCTTGGGAACAATTTAAATATGAAGTTCAAGAAAAATATCAGCTTTTCTCTTAGGGGACTACTTAATTATTAGTTTATATAATATCACACGCAATTTATGTCAATAAATTATATTTGAAATGTCCTCAGTTCAAATATTTCTTGCCAGTTCTATCCCAAACAAAGATATAATGAGTCATCAAGGTGCAAAATTATACAGTACAAAGTGATGGGATCTATCAGAAAAAGAATTAAAGCTACTGGGAAAACTACGAATCAAGCTGGGAAAAATCATTGCATTACAAAGTTCAGACTTTGTATAATTTTTACTTTTATTAATCTGAATTTAAAACCAGTACAAAAATCTAGATTAATTCAATTTTTTTAAAGTCTTCACAGACTAATTATAATTTAATTTTAATATTCTTTAACAACTTACTGAGGTACGGGGCATCTGCTCAGGATCAGCTTCTATGCGTGCTGTGATCTCAAGAAGAATAATACCATAGGAAAAAAGATCAGCCTGTAAAATTGTAAACAATAACAAAGCATCATTGAGATGTCGAACAATAATTGCTATGTATTTTATTAATTTATAAATCATCAGTGCACATCAAAATCTGCGTTAAAATTTTATTGCAGAGTGAAATATGCTGAAATTAAATTACTATTTAAGGCAGCTGTGCACAACCATTGACAGTTCGAGACAAAGATTACAACCAGGATATAATGATGTATAACATATGTTATTTTCAGGGTTTTGACATCTGTCACAGTGTTAATTTTTTTTTATAATTGATGGTTAAAAGGCACATGCGCAAGATCTGATCTTCTTATAAATGTTCGTCTTTATACAGGCCACATGTTTGACCTTAAATGAGAGTCTCTATGAATGTATTTGAAAGCTGTAACTTAAAAACATCTTGTCCAGTAAACATATCATACAATATTTCAGCATTAATAAGAATGGACTATAAAACAAGCATACCCTCTGATCATAAAATTTCCCATGAATCACTTCTGGTGCCATCCACCAAGGGCAGCCAACAGAAGGCAGTGGTTCCAATGATCTGTAAAGACAAACATAATAACAGTCATAACACCAATCATCTCCTCCAACATCACGGGGCTCTTTATTGCTACGGTAGGATAGGTCAAATAGTGAAAATTAATATTCTTTTTCAGATTAACTTTTAAGTCAGAGAGAACTTCAACACAAATCTAATCAACTGAAGGTCACCATAGCCTACTTGCTCATCCAGCCATTCCCTCTCCAACTTATTCACCCTGGCAGGACTCAAACAGCCCCTAAGGCAGTGGAAAGAAATGATGGGGTGTGGCGGTCTGAAATTCTTAATAGGCTAGAACAGTGCATTTATGACATTAGTCCACTCCCTTTGCCTTCCTGTGGTGCTGGTGGACACCCTAGAGTAATGATTTTGTGTGTTCCTACAAGTACTAATTTGCCAAATACCGTTGACATACAGCTGTCTAGGAACAATCTCCCTCAGTGATAATGTATCAGTTATAAATCCTCAGTGAGATTACCCCTACCCTACTCTCACCTCATATCCATCTGGTCCCTAACCTGTTTCTGCCTAGCTATCTTTTACGAAAAAAAAATTATGATGGAAAGGATTTCAGGATTTTAACATAGAACACCCACAAGTTTGCCCTCAAAACTATTTTTATTATAAATTAGCCAGTTATTATAATGGAAAACTTGAAATCTTAACATTTTAAAGATTTGTTTTTTAAAACTTTTGTACACACTCAAAACCCTTTTTTAATCAAAAGAGCACGATATACATTTCTCAAAATCTCTACTGCACAATAACCTTGATTGCATATTTTTAAGTTAAGTTTTGTATCACAAACTCAATAAACAAAGCAACTTCATATTGGGAGTTTTCAGTGCACATAAGTAGACTTCAGAGGACGTCCAATTGAGATATGCTGGTTTAGTTGTTTTTCAGGCTTTCATGCGTGTTCAAAATCTTTACAAAATAATTCAAATATCTAAAAAGCATTAGTTTCAATGAACTTTCTAAAATTTACCTACTATTTTCTGCTAGTAATTCTTTTAATATAAATCTGAGGTTACCTTGGGTCTGGAATTTTTGTGGCCAATCCAAAGTCTGCAATGACTGCCTGATAATTTCTGTTCTCCCCTTTTTTGATGAGTACGTTCTGGAAAGGAGATAAATTTACTGTTTTGGGTACCAGGAGAGTCAATAGAAATATCTAAACAAAGATATGAACTGGAGAGACTGCAAAAATTTATGGCAAGATGACCAACAAGAAAAATTAACAAACAATTTGAAGGGAAGAAAAACTAAAATAAAAATACTGAAAACTAAATCGTTAATCATGAAGGTAAAATAGGCTTCAAAAAGTATATTCCGACTACAATCACCTAGCCTCAAGTAACAATTATATTCTGAAGTTCCAGCAGAGCTAAGTAATACATCCTTATTTTTTGGGGACTTTGTTCTGAACTCTGTAGTAGGCTTTTATTCATTTATTTCTTTTTCCTATGCAATGATCCTATTCTTTTTCACATAGACCACTATTTAAGACCACAGTAATAATAATAATAATAATATTACCTGTTGTTCTTTAAGCCTTTGTAAATAATACCCTTAACTTTTTACTTTTTTTTTCTCATGCATTATTGTTAAAATGTTAAATAAGGGGATAGTAAAACTTAATGTTGACCTGGCTATCCTGAACTTACAAAATAGTACAATATTGTTTAAGAATACTACTTTACCATTTCAAAATCAAACAATACCATATTGTAATAGTAAAGAAATATACATAAATTTTAATGTAAAAAATAACTATTGGCATCGCATGGCTAAAAAAGCCCCCTCCCCAGAATTCTTTTTTTAAATTCAAAATGCAGGGATGCACTTTCGCATATACCTGAATATAGTTTCGCATCATTCTACATTTCATCATAATGCTTATGAAAAATTAGGTTCCCTCTACCTAGCTGTGTTTATATACATCATTTTTATTTTAGTAGTTACTAAATAGTAAAAATGTTGTAGGATTTTTATAGGAAAGGGTACCCCAAAATGGCCCGTACAATAAAAAAACAAAACATATCTTAAATGTGTGTTAATGTCAAGAATGAAAATAATCACTAATTGGATGAAGAAATAAGTTCATTTGTGCTACATCCAGCAAGCCATGATATTAAACATGGCGGGATGCGGGTTGGCCACCCCAGCATTAAGCCTTCAAAACTGATTTTATTTTCCGTCAACATATTATAGTCAAATAACAACAGCAAGCTGTATTGGGAGAAGAGGAATATTTGAAACAAGTATTAAAATTGTACAGCTGCTTAATGACTTCCAAAAATAGTTTTCAAATACCGCTTATTGGATCTTATAAAATATTTTAAATCTAATGCTGCTGTGTGGAGCAGTTGAGAATGTAATAATAAAAATGAAAAATATTTAGATTTCTTCATTTTCGCAATCACAGTTCAGCTGAAGAATGAAATAATTATGTCACAAACTTACATCATACAGCTCCGAAGCAAACAAAAGCCAATGTTGACTAATTTTGTCATTAAGACACTAAATATCACTGTAGCAGTATTTAGCGAGTTCATTGTGAAAACACAACGATCATCATGAAAAGTGACGGACTTTTTTTATAGCCTTAAAAAATATTTTGACACCTATCCCTTACCCCTCCCATGCACACCAAATTTTTAATGATAAAAACTACAAGAAAATACAAGAAAACAAGAAAATATACAGGTCTAGTCGAACAATCATAAAAAGCATCTCAAAAATTGTACATCAAAATTGTAAGAGTAACCAGGTCTGCTTAATGTAATGTTAAATTATAATAAACTCACCTTTGATGTGAGATCTCTGTGGAACACACCCTCCAAGTGGAGATAGTGCATGCCTTTGGCAATGTCCAGTGATAGTTTAATCCTCAGAATCCATGGTAGTTCTTCATCCTTCTTGGCCAACAGCCCTTCCAGCGTTCCGCCGCTGATGTACTAGTAAAGTATAACAAGTAGAATTATTTCAACTCTGTGTTCAATAATTAATATATGAACCGTCAAGCCCATTACAGTATCAACTTCAAATCTGCAGTCAGCAAAAGATTTTTTGTGTACGTTCCAACATAAAATAAAAAATGTTTGCATCTTTTTGTGACAATATTCCTCAATTAAGTTTCCAATTATTCCATCTTTTTTAAATTATTTACTGAATGGAGTGGAGAGGATGATTGTGCAACAGATGATATATTTTTAATTTTTAACTCAGTTTAAGTAGAGACTTTTCTTTTCAAATGTAATAATATTTAAAAGACTGTTTGATATCCTGGTTTTCTATATTTTATCAATTCTAAATTCTTTGCATTAATGATGGATTTTACTCATCTTTCTAACCACATAAGAAACTCCATATTTCTTTCATTTGACATGCATCTTTATGTTTCCGTATGTGTTTAGGCCTAGCATAGACAGCCAATTTATTTAACCCATGCCAAATCTTTTGAGTGCCCTTGTTATTTTTTATCCATGGTTTACCTCCTACAAATGACACATTCTGCGAGTTCATTCACCCGGCTATTTAATCATAGCTGAGGACACTCAAGGACTAATTCAAACATTGCATCATAAGAAATAGCAACGTATGTGGAAGCTTGAACAAAGACAGGGCAATAAAAGAAGAATGTTTCGGCTAAAACCAGCACAATAATCAATTCAATAAGGTGATGCAGAGCTTACTTCAGTCAAAGCATGCAACTGCCCTTCATGGACACAGACGCCAAGGAATCTGTAAAAACAAATAAAGGCCAGGTATAAAACATATAAATTGTACAACAGTTAGGATAACAAATGAGCTGAAGGGATGTTAATGCTCTCATATGCCTTTTTATGTACACATGAACTCTGTCAACAAATTTTTTTTTCAAAACTGCAAGTATCCTTTCTCTTTAATTTTTTGCTACTCATTATTTCTTATCAGTGATTTCAGAATCCATAATCTATTGGGTGTTAGTTAAGTTGTTAATTGAAACATCCAGAACTAACTGTCAGAATGACAATAACAACTTATTCAACTGGACGAGCAAAGAGCAATAAACTCCAGCCTCACAGTTTACTAGAAAATAACAGATATGCCAGGTAGACTCTCAATTTCTTGTGGCGATAGGGGCAATGATAAACACCCCACAAGAATCTGGACAGTGCATTCAAAATTATGCAGTTTCTTCACTTAGAATGCATAAATGGGTGGGGAAGGTAAATTAATAGGATAACAACATTGTGAGGCAGCTAACAGCAATCGGACACATATTGCTGTATGGGAAATTGAAGACTACAGAGAGACAGCAGTTGGCAGATGGGTTAAATTTATTTTGTGTACATCTTGTTGAAATCCCAGTTAATTACCACACTGGTTTTAGCTAAAAAATTAGAGTTTACCACAGGCTTCCATATGAACTGATTTATAAAAATGTATCCAGAACCTGCAGTCTTCAACACAGTCTTTACTGAAAATTCCTAGTGTGGATGAACACAGTAAAAAAAAGTCTTAAGGAGTGCACTCTTTTGAAGCAACAGCGCCTAAATTCTGGAACAGTTTGACTCAATATTTGAGGCGATTAGAAAATGACAAAATCATTTAAGAAACATTTAAAGACTTTTTTGTTTAAAAAGATTTAAGAACACCAGAGCGCAGTGAGCACGCTAAAGTAGCATGGATACCAGCGCTATATAAATATCCCATCAATCAATATAACATGATACCTTAAAATGTTAGGATGAGACAATCTGTTCATAAGTTGGACCTCACGCAGGGCACTGGGGCGGTTGGCCAAGTCTTTATTGATTTTCATCACCATCTCCTCATTGGTCACTCTGTGGGTTGCCTGGTGGTTGGACATTGAAAAAAAAATTAGTCAAATTTAATGGAAGTCATATAAGGGTTTCATCTCCTCTGCTCCATAGTGACTTCTTGAAGCTATAGACTCTGATAATATATCTTACAACTATGCCTCAAATTATGCAAGTTAGCCTCAAGATATATGACTCTGGATTATAATGAGGGACAGTCATTATTTTCTGGCTGTTATAAAAAAATTAAATGTTGAGTAACATCTCTTGTCTATTTTAAGCTAGCCAAGTGATGTGATTAAACAATACTTTGTAAACAGTATTGGTGCTTTTTAGATTTGTATGTTAAAGTTACAGACAAATTTTCTTATTTTCAGACTGAATTTGGGCTAATTGAATTGGATACAGATTTCAATTCATTAAAAAGACCCTGGACACGTTTGCATATTAATTTGCATTTAATTATTCCTATACTGTCAAATAATCGTTGAAGAGCCCGGGGGAGCCGGCCCGCCGTACAGGCATCCGAATGAAGAGCATCAAGGACAAATTGAAGAAAGAAGCCAGTCAGCCAGCTCAGCAAGACAACTCAGCACTGGTCAAGGACATCATGCAGGCATTGGCTGTGGCCATGGCTACCCAATCAGCTAGTCAGCAGGCCCCTGTTTATCTGCCACAGCAGGTGATGGGCAGTGTTGGCCAGGAACAACAGATGCAGCATATAATCTACGCCATTTCACAGGGCACGGAGGCTAACCAGGTTCCACATATTGCCCAGGCAGACACAACTCAAACTGTATACGGTGACTCCATTTCAACTCAGCTGCCCCCACCTCCGGCCAATGTTGTGACCACCGAAGCGGAGGTGAACGGGGGCCACATCAACAAGGCCTTCCAAACAGACTGATATTTTATTGTAACCTCCAGAAACAAATCTATCTAGTTAAGTTTCATAGCAACATCAATTTTCTTTGAAACAGAGTCATCCAATAAAACATTTCCCAAGGTCAACTGTGTGATGCGACCTCAACCTTTTCAGACCGAAACAGGAACTCTTTTTTTCTTTAAAAAACTACTTTCATTACGAAGCTCAGTTATAGTTTAACATACCGGTACCAAAGACTTCATCCTTGTTACAAGACTACACCCAAGTCATTCAGGAACATTTAGCTCTATTTGAGATCACTTAACAGTTAACACCTGGTACAAAATTATAAAATTAAATCACATGATTACAGCAAGAAGACAGTATAGGAGCTGCTCATTCCTGCCCAAGACAATCAGGGACTGGAACAAGCTTTCAAAAGGAACAGTTGAGGCGACAACACTAGACTCATTTGTGTCTATTGCCTCAAGCCTTCAAACCCCCAGTGCCTGATTCCCTCACAAAGTGGCACTGGAAATCAGTGAAATGTCCTCATCAACACAAGGCATAAAACATTGCAAAACCCCTCTACATGCATAGGAGCCAAAATGATCAATAAATTGATCTTGGGCGCTTAATATATAGAAGAAGAAGAAGAAAGATTAGAGAGTGACATGCTTGCCGGTATCCCGTCAATGATAATGACAATTAAACTCCCTCTCGTATATGGAAGGAAACACCTCACCATCAACAGCTGCTAATTCTCCGAAATGACAAACCCAGATCAAATAAAGGCCAAGTTCTACAAGGATCTTGTAGTCCAAGGCAGGACAAGCTCATAATTCTTGGTGACTTCAGTGCTCAAGTGTGCTGCAATCATACCGCTTGAGATTGGGTTCTAGGAATGTATGGCCCCACTTCATTAGGATCATCCCCACTTCTAAGTGGGGAAATCTCCAAGATGAGAAATCTCTGATCACTGACAAGAAAAAAAACGATAAAAAACTGGGCTTAACATTTTAACTTCCTAAATTGACCTTGATCCATCAATGATGAAGCCATAAAGCTTTTCTCGCAGGTGCCACTCGGTCAAGAAATGGAAGACCACCCCCACTCTAACCGAGACCCAACAAGATAGACGTCTCCTCTCGATTGGAAAAGCTCCAGGTGATGACTCGATCCTTAGCTGAAATTTACAAAGTACGGGGCACAGCTCTGACTGAAAGGCTTCACCAGGTGTTCCTACTTATGCAGCAGCAAGAGATAACTCCTGGGAATTCTTCTTCTTATATTAGAGGGGCCCACGATCAATTTGTTGATCATTCTGGCTCATTCAATTTCAAGGATGCATATCCTGTTCACCTGTGCAAGTGTTAAGGGAACCATCAATCTTGCAACAACTGCAGTGGCATGTAATTGCTCTCAAATGCAGGCAAGATACTTGCTATAATCTCGCTTAACCATCTTTACATGCATCTTGAGAAGAATCCCTGGCCAGAAAGTTCATTTGGTTTTCGTAAGGAACGCAAAACTATTGATATGATGTTTGCAGCCAGACAGTTACAGGAAAAGAATGTTGACCTTTTCTCCACCTACGTAGAACTCACCAAGGCTTTGATACGGTTAATAGAGGGTCTTAGAAAGATCATGGCCAAATATGGATGCCCCGGAAATTTCATTTCAATGGCACAGCCATTCCATGATGGTATGCAGGCTAGGGTTCAGGAAAATAGGGAGACATCTAAACCATTCTCTGTGACAAATGCAATTAAACAAGGTTGTGTCCTGGCACCAATACTTTTCAGCCTGATGTTTTCCACCGTGCCGACTGATGGCTTCAGAGAGGGAGACATTGGAATTGGTCTCAGATATTGAACTGATAGTAAACTATTCAACTTCTAGAGGCTCCATACAAATCCAAGGTCCTGACAGACATCATCAGGGACATACTGTATGCCAACAATTGTGCCCTGTATGATAGATCTGAAGCGGATATCTAACGCAGTGCTACTAATTTCCCTGATGTCTGTACAAACTTCGGTCTCACCATTTACACAAAAAAGATTGAATTCCTATACTAGCCAGCTTATCGAAGTCCTTAAGTTGGTAAATAGCTTTTTATACCTTGGCAGCACAGTGTCCCAAAGTGCAACCATTGATGAGGAGGTTAACCTTCGTATTGCAAAATCCAGTGTAACCTATGGCAAATTGTCTAAGAATGTATATACCAGGCAAGGAATCAGCACTCAAACTAAAATGAAACTATACAAAGAGGCTTTGCACCCTACAATTGTGAAATGTGTACAATCTATCAACACCATGCAAGAATGTTAAAACACTTTCATTCGACAAGCCTCCGAAAAATCCTCAATATCAAACGGTAGGACAGGGTCCCAGACACTGAGGTACTTGCACAGGCAGGTATCCTAAGCATCTTTACCAGCTTGGATGGATGGAACATTTTTTGAGAATGCCCAAAAGAATATTCTATAGTGAGTTTTAACATGGAAGGCAGTTTGCTGGTGGACAAAAGAAACGCTTTAAAGACAACCTAAAAGCATCACAGAGTTCAATATAGAACTCAGACAAATGGAAAGAATCTGCAAAGGATCGAGCATCATGGCATTCCTCTAAACACAAAGGCTCCATACAACATGAAGCCAACAGAAAAGTGGCTGCAGAGAACAATAGACATGCCAAAAAAGCATGAGTTAACTCTGCCTCTTGAGATGTCCCATCAGCACACTACAATTACTGCACAAAAAAATTTTGTGCCAGAATCGGTCGCATCAGCCATTTGCGCATCCACAGCAAAGTTCAGAATTAGGAAATATATGATGATTGAGGTGGTCATGTTCGATTTTCAATGACAAACTATATAATTAGAGATTAATATGTTTTGACATTTTAAAAGAAAGCCACTGTAGAAGTAAAAAAAGTCATCAGACAATATTTTTGTTACCAATGACCTCCATTCTATCAATTTTGTAAATTGTATTTGTCTTGCAATTATGGCATTAGATTCTTTTAGATGGCATTCATTAAAATCAAATGCTTTACACCTTACATATAAGCTTCAAAAAACAGTAGCTGGGAGAAAAAGCATAAAACAACAACTGTCCATACCAATTTAATTATATCTTCCTGTTGACCCACTTAATATATATCAAACAGCTGGCTTTAAAATGAATCAAACTGTTTCCTCTTATGTATTTATATATATATATTTCTATTTTTAAGTACTGCGACAAAGCACTTCAGCAGTGATAAGTTGTGACATGACCATCACAAGTATGTTTCTCTCTCTATAATTAACAGGCTGGCAAGTGGTCAAGTGTTAAGTGTTAGGGGTTTGTTTATGTACATGGGATCTCAAATTAATTGTGGTTACTTTTTATTTATAATCCAGTGACATTGTTATTTCCCATGGACCAAACAGATATGGGAACTACCATACTGAAACTTATAGAACATACTAATGCATATTATCAACTTTTAGCCCATAATGTTTTCTGTTTAAACTAATTTGCAATCTTCAAGAGATTTTTTTTCCAAATTAAATAGATTTTTTTTTTTTTATTTTGTTAAAACTATATTTTACTTCTAACTTAATCATGGTTTTCCTACTTTAATGATTTTTTTAATTGGGAAAATGTCATGTTAATAAATGCACACCTTGTGAAAATTTTATTTTATATCGTAGCAGTGAAAATTAATTGATCAGCTAAAATTCTTAAGGAGGAAAGATATATACTTTTGTTTCTATTATATAAGTATATTTATTCATTCATTAAAAGAAGTGTGTATTATGCAAGAGAAGCTTTTAGAAGTAAGATTCATTTTTTATTTTCATAAAATGTCCTTTCAGCAGCCCATTTCATACCCAATAAAAAATGCATGGGGGCTTTCACAAAGGCCAGATTGAAATAGCTGGCAATCCATCTATCTAACACAATGCTAAGTCCTCCTGTTCAAGAAAACTAACTGTGTTAAATTGACAGTATGGTCTCCATTTTAATTCTTACTAGACCATATTTTTAAATATATACAATTTAATCACAAACAGGTACATCAGACATACAATTTGGCTTGATTTTGGAACATAAGAGTGCGAATTTTAGATATAATAGCTTTCATTAAATGGAAGTTCACATTAATAATATTAAACATGTGAACTAAATTACTAAGGAGGCTGGAGTTTGTAAGGGTTAGGGAAAAGAGGTGGGGAATAATGTGGGACCATAGGCGTGAGGGGTGCAGAAAGTGGTTTGGGTTTGTGGAGTCAACTTGAGGGGTGGGGGTGAGAAGAAGTTTTTTTGGGGAAAGGCCAAACGTTTACCTTATAAACGTTAGCGAAGAAGCCATCTCCAAGTTCTTCCAGAATGAAATCATCAATCCTTGTCAGGGCCGAAACTGCATGTCTTAAAGCCTGACATGATGATGTTGGTTGGGGGGCAGGAGATGGAGACCTCTTCCCTGTTGTCTCATTTGTGAATGACACTAAGTTGAGAAAAGGACACAATAATGGTGAGGACATGGTATTATAATTATAATTGACATGCAGCTCTACAATAGAAGTCTAACATTTCTACAAAAGAAGATAAATGAATAAATACATACATATCTCATAAGTTTTATTATAACCTTCCATGGTGGCTATACACAGCCAGGGGCTAGGGAACCAAGCTTCTGGTCAATATTTCTTCTAATTGATTTGAAGACAGCACATGAATGAAAATTCTTCCTGCATATCTCGAGTCTCACTAGCTGTATGATCATTATTAATGTATCCTTTATTATTGCAGTACACTGGTGAGACTTAAGACCTCCAAAACATTTGATAGCTCAGAGTCATGAAGCCATGATATGAGGAATAAACCTTTTCCATCGCATGAACACACAAATGATGTCACGACATAGCATCATAATATCAAATGTTATGCCCCTTTTCATCACATGTACAAGTGATCTATCAAACATAGTTTTTTCTGCAATTATTTTTTTCTGAAATGAAATTGCTTTTCTAACATGCACTCTATAAGTAATATAACAATTAGTAAAAATCATGTACTAAATATAAACTGAATATTCAAAGAAAATGTCAGCCATCTACTGTTGACGGCCAATTTAACTCTGCAGCTTACAGTGACATGAAATTAACAAGCAAGATCTAAAGTGGCTAGACACAAAAAAAAGTGGTCGGGGGGTATTTTTACTGGTCTACATTCTTTAAAAGCAATTTTTGTATGACGACCAGTGTGAGTGTATTGAGATCGTACACTTTTTATATTAAAAAAAAGATTTCAAAAAGAATAAGTCTTTTTCTTTAAATCAAAACCTGTTCTTTATTTAGCTTATAGAAGCACGGAAAATTTACACATCTAAGATTGTTAATGAGGCTTAAGTACAGGTCTAAATGTTGATATGCCTGAAAACTTACCTTCATTGTTTGCTTTGCCGTCATTACCTCCAAAGTGGGAAACATTGATCGTTTTACTTCGACGCAGATGTCTCAAAATAGGTTTACCCACTTGGCTTTTTTCAACCTTATTATCTGACATTTTTATATTTTCTTTTATATTGAAGATTGTCATTTTTCAAGGTCACCATACTGCTTTCACTCCTGGTGACACTCCAGAGTAATAACTTCAAACAAAAAAATTATTAGCCTAGCCTATTAATAATTTTTTTTTTAATCTTTAATCTTAATGAAATTTCAACAGATAATACATAAATTACATTCATTGTAGTAGGTAGAAGAATAGACTGACCTATTTTTAACTGTAAGACTGTAGGCGTAGGCCTACTATCAATCTGAGTCTACTATAAACTATACTTATAAATACTGACTTATATTTATATTATTAGACTATAACTAAAACTGTCTATACTAATATCAAATAAGTAGCCTATAAACTATAAGCCTATAAGTAATAAGCCCAGAATATTATTATACCCGGGCCTGAACTGAATGTTAATAAAAAAATTAATAGACCTAGCTGCCTAGCTTGTGCCTTATTCAGCTATTTCAAAAATTAAATATATATAACCAAGCTAACCCAAGCTAATTTTAATTATAAAGAAGGCAGTGGCTAGGCTAGTTAATAAATAAATGTAGTAAAAAATTTAACTAATACATCAGGTAGCCTACATTTACATCAGAACATCAAATAGGTAAGCTAACTGTCACACACAACTGAGCTAAAATCTCACTGGATAAAAAGGAAGAAAACGGAGTTTTCCCCTTTTTTAAACCTTCCTTAGTCTGCCACACAAACTTGTACTTTTAATTTGTAAACAAAGTGTTTTTATCGCCAAAAAAATTTAGTCAACCAGAACCAAACAAAGTGATAAATTCTCTAATTTTAAGTTTAAGTTAAGTCTTCGGTAATAATTCCTGTAACTGTAAAGTTATTTTACTAAAGTAACAGGCCTAACGCAGGCCTTACAAATAAATTATCAATTATCACAAACCACTTGAAAATCAAACCATCTTTGAAAAAAGTAGGTCGTTCGGGGTTTACTAATATTAGCAATGTTTTGTTATTGCTTTGCAGACCCGACTGACCTCGGACCGACGATGTATATTTTTAACCTTGCCAGAATTAATATAAAATGCGTGGGAGATAACACACAGAACAATTATACATTAAGTTTTAACAATTTGCTAAACTAATACTAATACGTAATACGCGTATTGAATTTATTAACATTTTCGTTTCAAGCAGTCAATGCAGCGATTAATCAAGAAATGGAAACAGTACAAATACAGATTTGTACCATGGCTTATATTTAATATGAAAAACAGGTACCCGTGGTCGTGAATCGGTGTGATAACAATAACAACACAGACTGCTTGTGTGTGTGAGCGTGTGTGTCTGTTTTGTAAATGTGGGTGAGTGTGTGCGAGAGAGAGAGTGTGTGTGGAATTAAATTATTAAGCCAAAATAGCCTAATTTAATAATACCAAGTCCTATATGATATAATTTCCTAAAATAGCCTAGCCCTTAAACTTATTGATATTGAACTTGAACTTAATAATCACTCTCACTCACATTCACTGCTCACATGTCATATTTTAATGATATTTTTATAATGAATAATATTAATATACATAACTATAATGATAAGGCCTAACTTATAATAATATTTGATGAGGCTAAAAAAAAATTATAATTGTCATAATAATGTATTTATTAGTGCCAAAAAAATGCTATAGGTCAGTGGTTCTCAAACTTTTTACAGCCACCACCCCATTGAATTGGGCTCATTAACTTGCCTTGACTGCCCCCTGTCCAACCCATTTACAAGCATTCTCAGAATAAAATTTGTGGGACCCTCTATGGAAGGTAATTACACAAGGAAATTTAAAATTGTAACATATGTTTGTTGAGCATTTCATCAAAATTCAAATGAATTACTACATAAATTCATGTGATTAATCAACTTTTTCTCTGATTCCTGCCCTTCCTATCTAACCGAACTTCTTTCTGTCTATTCGCCCCTTCGACAGTTTTGCTCCTCCACAGACACGGGTATTCTGTCCGTTGCCAAGACACACACTAAGACATATGGTAAACGATCGTTCTCTTTCTGTGCCCCAAAACAATGGAATTCTCTGCCACTACAACTCTGCAATATACCAACCACCCAGGCCTTCAAAACTGCACTCAAAACACATCTCTTTAAACTCTACTACCCTGTCTGATTCCCCACTCTGACTGATAAATGATGCTGCTGGCTGCCGTCAAGCCACGATTATGTCTCATTTGCTAATATTTTTATGTACAGGGCGGTGAGCCCAGCCCTAGGCTGGGGTATCGCGCTATATTAGACCACTAATAATAATACTAATTCATTTGATCAAGAAGTACCAGAGTAAGATCATTATTTAGCAAGAATTTTACTTGATTTATCTTAAGTTTTCTTTGGCCAAGTTACTTACAAATGTGATGGAATAATGAAAATAGTAACAGTAAATTGAGATTATTATTCAATGCCTGGTTTTAAGTCTCTCGGCAGAAACTTCATTAACTATGTTCATATTTATATGATATCTCTTTGATGTGAGCAAAGCAGGATAACCGCACTTAAACAACCTTAAAAATACTCCAAAATTAAATTGATGAATAGGATAATAAATGTGTTACTGTAAGCAAAACCTTTGGTATAACCATTTTTAACTGTTGTTTAAAATCATTTTTGCCGATTAAGCCCTGCTTCAACAACTGCAATAATCGTAAAATGGAGTTTTCACCCAATCGAAAGAAAATCTTAAAATTGCTCTGATTCAGAGTCTGAATATCTCCAATGGTCGCAAAGTACTACCAGACAGTCATCTTGGATCTCAACCTTCCTTTCTAGATCTGAAGGGCTAGGAAATTAATATAACTTTCCATGATCCTAGATTTCACTTTAATTGAGTTATTATTCTAAAGCCACAGTAAGTAAGGTAGATTGGGCTTTTACAGGACAGATCTCAGTCCCCTGAAGCTGCATATTCATTGTTATTGAATTTTAAAATTTAAAATATTTCTGATACCTGTTGCGAGGGGTGTCTTTGGGTTTGAGTCAGCAAAAAGAGAAGAATTAGTCCCAACGAACATCAGTATAGAGCAAAAAAATACAGCATCATTTGCAACACAGAGCACAAGTAATTGTCATTTATTTTGAACTTGTGCTAAAATTTAATTCACTGCTGTAAAGAATGGTGATTTTGGTGATGAATGACACAAATAATAATAAAGACATATTGCACTGATTTTTAAAAAGTTTCTCAAATTAGCAGCAAAAGACAGTTACTGCTAGTCATTGTTGGCGCTCAATTATGGCTCGCTTAATTTTTTAATGTAAGTTTCTTAAATTGAAAGAAGAGTTCAAAATTATGAAATAGAAGTTTTTCGTTGCATTGTTCCAAACTTTTATCTGTTGCAAAAAAATACATTAGCGATAAGAAAAAATTCATTCTCTTGAAATTGAATTTCAGTTGTATTACAATATCTTTTGATTTTGCTGTGCTACAAAGCTAATCTTCAAATATCTCAGTCTTGCGTCTATAAAATTAAAACCTCACTTAAAGTTGGTAGGATGCACACTTCACCAATTGTTTGTTGTGACTTAAGATTTATTCATTAACAATTCAATGTTACTTCATAAAATCTTTTTTAAAGGTTAAATCAATACAAGACAAGATTATACTTATAGGGCTTCTTATAAGTTTTTGGCTCAGTTGTAAATTCCATCTTAAAAAACAAGTCTTTGTATTGTCATCTCACAGCGTTTAGCTAACTTTAAATGTATTGTTAATTGCCGCTGGTTGTTCTGTTTGAAGAATATATCAAAGGTCATTTCTCTCTTCTTTTTGTGGAGAATTTTATTTTTATATCAACATCACGTTGTTATTGTCAATAAAAATCAAATCCTCCTTTTAAATATATAATTGTAATATTTATGAAAAAAGAATAATTTCCAATATAATTTTCCAATGCCCCCTCTGAGAGTCCCTTTGCCCCCTAAAATCTCCCAAGCCTTTCATCTCACCCTGAGCAACCCCACCACACTCTGTGGGGCTGTATTGCCCACTTTGAGAACCACTGTAATAAACCTAAGCCTAAATTTCATATCATAGAAAAAAATATTATTTGCCTATTTTGGGCCCTATTATTGCATTTTAAATATTTTAATTTAATAGGCCAGCCTACATATTTGACATGTACAAATTACTATTTTGGGCAATGATATATAAATAATTCTTATAATCTCAGGCAGTTAGTTATTAGGATGCTAGTTATTAGGCTAAAAATATTAGTCAAATTACATTTAAATTTTAAACCTGAAGTAAATTTCGTTGATGCAAGTGCAATACCGGGTATTTAAAAAAAAAATTCAAAATTTAAATCTTAGATTACATTAAGTTAACTAAGACAATAGGAAAATAATTTCCTTTTTTAAAATTAAACTTAAACTCACACTTGCATGGATAAATATTCATTCATAACATCTTAAAATTTAAAGTACAGTAAGGAATAGTAAATTTGGTTACAACTCACCATTGCATAGAATAACAGGCCCAAACTTATTTTAATTACTCATCACTCTATTTTAGAAACATTAAATCAGTGACGGATCATGATATGGATTCTATACCAGAGGAGAAGTTGATAGATGACCTATATAAATTCTTATCTAAGCTCCACAAGCAGCTAAGTGATCTACAGGTAGGCATACAAAATGAACACTTTTCAATAAATGTTTTAGAAATTAAATTTGTTACATAGATCAGTGGAAATAGGCCAGCAGCATCTCATCTGTATTGGGCAATAGCACTACTATGGAGCCAAACAAATGGGTGATGATATAGGCATCTAAGTGCTAGGAGAGCAGAGTAATGGACTGTTTGTTTTTTGTTGTTTTTTTTGGAAGTATTAACCTGCATTAAATTTTTTAGTAAATGTATCCTCATAATTTGTTTTTAAATTTTGATTTTTTTTTTTCAATTTTATTTGATTTTTTTTTTTTTTTTTTTGTAGTTGTTAAAGCAAGAAAGATTGAAAATTAAAAGTTTAGAAATATTTTGTTTTTTGTTGTTTTTTTTGGAAGTATTAATCTGTATTAAATTTTTTAGTAAATGTATTCTCATAATTTGTTTTTAAATTTTGATTTTTTTTTTTCAATTTTATTTGATTTTTTTTTTTTCTTTTTTGTAGCTGGTGAAGCAAGAAAGATTGAAAATTAAAAGTTTAGAAATAATGAGAGATGTTTCTGGATTTACGGTGGAACGTGTCCAAAGCGTCCTCCCCACAGGAGGACTAGGTGTGAAAGTAACCTCTGGTTTTGTTCCTGTTGGATCAATTACTAGTTTATATCCAGGTTGGTATAAAAAGATAAAAGACATAATTTATCAAAATTTATGCTCGACATGTATCTAACACTTACTTATCTGAGGAAAGCAGAGAAAGATTGTATTCAAAGGATAATACAAGACCACTTTTAATATCCAATAATGACACTGTTAAAATGCAGACATTGGGGTAGATAGGTACGGCTTTAGCTAAACATTTACAGTTTCAAAAATAATTAAAGTACATTTAAAAGTAAGCATTGAGCTATTTTTTTTAATTATATGTTTATCAATTTTTTAAAGTCATTATGTAAAATTTTCTTCTTCATAGGTCTTATTTATGAATCACATGAGCCTATATTTTTTCAAAGCATTGGAAATTCTTTTATATTTCGTTGTGCGGATGGCCTACTCATTGATGGCAATGACAGAGGATTGTCAAAATCATTATACAAGTAAGAATTTTTTTTTTTTTAAATGACCTAATGCAATATTAAAAAAGCATTTTACATATTTCTGAGGATTGGATAATTTTATTCAACTAATGATATAGATATAAGTATCCACATTATACTCAGAGCACTATATACCAGTAATCAAGTGAATGAATTAAGGCCTTTCTAAAATTTTTGCGTTTTTAGGCATTTATTGTTTTTAAATTTGAATGGAAGAAAAATACTTTTTTTTTAAAATCCAAGAATTAATTTAATTTTATTGGATGCCTTTCATCAGCTGCAACTCTACAATTCGCATTCTCATCCTGTCATTCAATCTTTTTATAATTGTTATGGTTTAAATAGTATGATGTCCTGCTAAATTCTCACTCAAGGTAGAGCAATCAATTTTATTCTTGTGTTTGACCAGTTTTCAAACTTGTGGTCCTAAAGATTCAGTTGTCAGCACAGCAGCCAATAAGCAGCACATTTAAACTTTAAGCATATAAAATCAATACCCTCATCAAATTCAAAAATGTATTTGGTTATGTTCCTTGTGTATTTTGTTTTTCTCTTCCTCGAGGCTTATGGGGTTGGGGGGTTGGTTTAGTAATTTTAAAAAAATGATAATAAATTTCTTGACATTTATTGTCAGCACAGGAAAATTTTTAAAATAATAATCTCAACATATTTTTTTTTAAATTTTATTTATGGAAAAGTATTTTTTATGCAAATGAACAAGAATAAAATTTATTAGCATTAATTTCATTAAATTTCATCTTCTTTTATTCGTTCCATTTTATTTTTAAGATCTTGTAGAGGAAGGGATAGCTGCTGGCCAATGCCTGCATGTGACGACTCTTGGTTGAAACCCGAGCTCATATGTCCTTTGAACATTGGTCAATATGTGAACAACCACAACAAGCGTGAGTGATCACAATCGTATTCTCGTAGATTTAAATTACCAATAAACTATGTTAGTTTAAATAGCTTCAGTAAAGTCGCATACAAGTTAACAAGTTGGGCTGTAATATATTTACCAGAGATTTATATTATAATTATTGAGCTCTATATTTATCTGTAACAGAGTATCCTGCCAATGTTGCTTATCAAGAACTGGATATTCCTGACAGTTTCCCAGCTCATCTGAGACAGTATTTACCCAACAATTTCTACTCCCCTAGTCTGAATGTTTCAGAGGGCATGCAAAGGTACAAGTACGAGGTTAACAGTAAAAAGTAAATAATTTAATGCTGTGTTTTAGGCTGATGGGTGTTTAAAATTGTTGGTGAAATTTTTAAAAATAATTTACTGCTTCAAAAGTACCTCCATTCAATTTACATGAAAACTAGGTAGTACCGCATTATTATATTGATTTAGTGTGATGCACTGACACTAATATTTTTCTTCATCTGTTCAAAGTTAAATAATCATTTTCTTAAATGGTTCCAATCAAGTCAACAAGGAAAATAGAAATTTGATTACATTAAAGTCCTCTAAATCTAAATGATATTTCCTATGTCTTGTTGCACCTTTAATACCACCTGGTCTCAACTAGTGATATCTGTTATTTACTGACCTACTGTAAATCTTATCATTTAAATGTCATCTCTACCACAAATATGATGAAATAATGTTGATTATTGATTTGTTTCAGGTTACTTCGAGTGGTAGCTTTAGTCTCTGTGAAGGAGATAAAAAGTGGGGAAGAACTGTTTTCATCCTATTTTACTTTAGTCAGATAGCAAGCCAGAGAAACGTTTGCTTCCCACTAGCCTTAAGTTATGTGACCAACTAATGCCAACTAAAGTACCGGTACCTTGCAGGAAATGAAACCATCTTGTGCTATAAATTTAATGTTTGGATCCCATGAGGTTCTTGACCACCGGTACCGGGTATTCAAAAGTACACAATTCAATGTAGTGCCACAAGCCTCTGAAATGCTGGTATCAAAATATCTACAGAACCTAATGCCATCAGCCTTTATTTGATTTATGTATAGATTAACAAGGGGTCAAATAGAATGTTACTTGTAAACTCTATTTTTTGCTTTTTGCGTTTCTGAAGTTAATACTGTGGTTATGCCAGCCTCTTGGCCCAATTGTAACATTGCCTGGCTATCTAATCGTAACATTGCCTGGCTATCTAATCGTAACATTGCCTGGCTATCTAATCGTAACATTGCCTGGCTATCTAATCGTAACATTGCCTGGCTATCTAATCGTAACATTGCCTGGCTATCTAATCGTAACATTGCCTGGCTATCTAATCGTAACATTGCCTGGCTATCTAGGAGGAGTTTGAGGGAATCGTAACATTGCCTGGTTAACTAGAAGGAGGTTGAGGGCGTTGTAACATTGCCTGGCTATCTAGGAGGAGGTTGAGGGTGTTGCAACATTGCCTGGCTATCTAGGAGGAGGTTGAGGGCATCGTAACATTGCCTAGCTACCTGGGAGGAGTTTGAGGGCGCCAAATTTTGTACAGGGTGTTATCAGCTGATGGTAAATAGATAGGAGGCATGGATGTGTGCCAAGTAGGAATCTATTTTGGGGAGGAGGTAAACCTTGAGTAAATTAAGTTAACCATTCAATCATATGAAAAACAACCTACAACTTGACACAGGATCAAAAGTAAAAGATACCTGCAATCTTACCAGTTAAGTCCGGAAAGTTAAACAATATTTATATATTTTAACAAATGGTAGCTTGAAGCACTTCGAAAAGATTTGTCTTCAAGATTCGCCGACTGCTCTACTTTTTGGCTGCTACTGCCGACTGCTCTACTTTTTGGCTGCTACTGCCAACTGCTCAAATTTTTGGCTGCTACTGCCGACTGCTCTACTTTTTGGCTGCCACTGCCGGTGTCCTGAATTAGATATTGATATTGGGGGGACTGCTATATTTTGAAGCAATTGGAAATCTAAAGCACAGGGTAGGGGAAAACCTGAAAATAGCAAAATGTCCAACACTGATCCACATTCCTCCAGGTTGAACCAGCGTCAAGGCGCAATGGTAGTATCAAGCATATCAGAAACAAAAAATAAATGCAAGCCTCTTTTCTAGCTGCAGGCTATTTTGTCTGATGAACTATAAATTATAAAGGTTGATATTCTTTCAATGGAGATAAAATGTCAGTAAAATAACCTCAGCCACGGAAATTTGAGGTAACAGCTAACTTGTCCTGCCATTACATTTGGGTAGTGTGATCCAGACATAACACAAAAAATAGAGATAATTAACAAACAAAAAAATAGGTTGGATTAAAGTCATAAACATGAATCTAAGAGGTGACGTGAGTCTTATGTGTAGAATTTTATTGATATGAGTTGATTGACCAGTCATATTTTTGGAATGAGTACGTATAGTTTTTACTCCTGTGAAGGGCGGACACGCTGTCCTTTTTCAGGCCATCAGCCATGTGACTTAACACCACACCAATCAGCTGTAACAAGAACAAAAAGACTAACATTATAAGGTCCCCTTTAATTAAATAATTATAACACAAATTCTATACTTTATTTATTAGTTTTCACGTGCATTGATTGGAAAGGAAATCAAAGGTGTCACCTCTTTTCCTCTTAAGAGTTTGTGTGGGGGGGGGGGTGTCTTATTTGCCACTTTTAATTATAATATTAGTATTTCCCTATTTTAGCTGTAATGTTGTTTTTTTTGTATTTCCCTCTCCTTGTAATGCTTTTTATTTGTTGTTGGTCTATTGAATTAAATGTAAACTGTACTTAATCCTTCAATGAATTGTTGAGTCTTTAATTAATATATACTTAAATTGTATCCTAGGAACAACAATCCTCTTATCCTGTGATCCAGGGTCATTTGGGGTCAGCCTTAAACTGTTGCCAGTTCTGACTACATTTGGGGTGAGCCTTACACTGTTGCCAGTTCTGACTACATTTGGGGTCAGCCTTAAACTGTTGCTAGTTCTGACTACATTTGGGGTGAGCCTTAATCTGTTGCCAGTTCCGACTACATATGGGGTGAGCCTTAAACTGTTGCCAATTCTGACTACATTTGGGGTGAGCCTTAAACTGCTGCCAGTTCTGACTACATTTGGGGTGAGCCTTAAACTGTTGCCAGTTCTGACTACTCTTCTCTGGCGTCGTTATAGATTCAGTGTTATAGGCTTCCGGTATATCATAGACTTACCCTTTACACGTTCCTTCTCTTTAAGGAAATTAAACCTCGAACAATTGGCCGACTGTTTATATATCTGTCTTCATTCTATGGATTGTTAAAAGTAAAATAAGGACACCGGACTTTATTTAATACCACATATTCCTGTAGTTTTTTGTTTTTTTTCTTTTTGACGAGCCGCTCCACAGCCTTCAGGTGTGAACACATTAATTATCTAATAGAACTAGCATCGACACAAACCTCTTTCTTCTTACACTGGAAGTCAGTCATGTACCAGCTGAAGATGGGCGAGAGCTTGATGTGACGCTTCTTCATGTCCACCGTGCAGCCCTCGTCGTCCAGGAAGTTGTAGGCGGCAGTGTACAGCTGCTCCTCTACACACTGGCCGTCGTGATATGTTGATTGGACAGCGGGTAATGAATGCCTTAGCCAGGTGCACACCGGGTGCTAAAACTTGGTTGCGTGTACAAATTCCAGGTAAGTAAGTGCAATATTCAACGAGACGCAGTTGTGTCAAATGTTGTCGCCTTTGTCTAATTGGGGAATGTGTGTGCTACTAATAAATCCCTTTGCCTTATGTAGGGCTATTTATTCAGCCCCCCCCCCCGACTGAAACTAAATGCATAAGAACTAGAGCGCACGTTATACGATTCACAATCAGTGCTACTATCCCCCCCCCTCCCCAACCCACCTTGACGGTACGCCACCGGCCCTGAACTAAATTAATATTCTTATGCCTCACCCCCTATTAAACCGCAGATTTGCGACACCATAATTAAATTGAGGCTCTTTTCGTAAAGGGGACGTCCATTACTTATGTCAACAAAATAACAAAATAGGGGGGGGGGGAATGTTTGACAATTGTTGACAAGGGGGGAGTTTAGTTTAATTGACGCCAACAATCATGTTTTCTTTATTAAAAATTTAATCTTAAAAATTGACTGTTTATTACATTATTTTTAACAAATTTAATGTGTAAATTAAAATAGTTATATTATTTTTAGGCTTTTAACAATTTAAGAATTATTTAATGTGTGTCTTTTTGCGCACTGAAGATGGCTGGTCAGAATGTTCGCATATTTTGTTAGTGCACGAGAAGTCAAAAGTTGGCGTCTCTTCCCCTGTAGATTCTGTTGGTCGCAAATGACTAGGACGATGTGTTTGCGATCGTGTTCTAGGTATGCATTGATCAAGGACAATGTGCAGTCAAGATAAATGATGTTGATAGAGTAGGAACACGATATTTTGAAAATTAGAAGAAAGTAAAGAGAGTAGCAACAATAACATCGTTGCTTGAACGATATCGTAATATCTATTTTGCATCACTTCAACAGCACCGACAATGCATAAGAAATTACCACCTGTTCCTCAACAAAAAGGATTCGACTAATGCAAGTAGCTGCCAGGAGAGAGATAGAGAGCTTTTGGCAATTATTGCTCACACGGGAAATGCTTCTATTTTAAGTGCTGAATGGTTAGATGAGGATGATGTTGACTTGTCTGGTGTATCAGTGCCGCAAGATGAAAAAGATAAATCGGTTACTATGCCCATTGTTACGATAGAGCAACACCTGGCTACTGCCTGGGAAGATGATAAAAGCTAGAAACTATGCTACAATTGTCAGCTATACTGACAATAATCATATTTCTCCTTCCACAGACAATGATATTTAGTCTTTAACAACCTTTACATTGATTCTGCATTATAAAATTCAAGTTTTTAAAGCTAACATTTTGATTAACAAGTTAAAGATGCAATCAGATGCTTCTCCTACAATTCTGCGTTATTTAAATAGATCAGCACAGTTACAAATTAAATTATTTATATATTTATTTATATTATAATTCATTGTTTGCCTTGTTTTGTTTTGTTTTGTTGTTGTTGTTTTTGGTGTTTTTTTTTTTTTTTTTTGGGGGGGGGGGTGTTTTGTTGTTGTGATTTTTGTGGGGTGTGGGGTATACACATGTTGACATAATTACTTGTGGTTGGGGGTCATTGAAAGTTTGACAGTTGTTGACAAGGAGGAGGGAGGGGGGGTCAAAAATTGTTTTGAAATCGTTGACGTATTTAATGGACGCCCCCAAAATAAAAGAAAATAGTATGCACTGGTGATATCTGTAATTATCTCCCTTCAATGCCGTTATTGGATCGGTAGTTTTAAATAGTGAAAATTAGTGCCACCTGGTGGCGTTAGTAACAGCGTTACGTAGAGAATCGTGTTGTTGTTTTTTATGATTGATTATTACGGCGTTAAGAAATACCTGCCTCGGGTGTGTAGATCCTGATCGGGGGAGAGCTTACGGCCCCATGGCACAAGGCAAAGTGAATAAGGGGATCGGGTTCATTCAATGCATTGACCAAACGGGGATCTTTTCTTCTAAACGGCTTTCTGAAATGGCCTGGAATAAATTAGGTATTTTACTGTAGTGTTTTTTTAAGTTAATAGACTCCCTTTGTCCGCTGTGCGTGGCATTGAGGTGTGTTGTACGTGGCCTTGAGGTGTGTTGTACGTGACATTGAGGTGTGCTGTACGTGGTTTTGAAGTGTGTTGTATGCTGTACGTGGCATAGGGGTGTGTTGTGTGCTATGCGTGGCATTGCGGTGTGTTGTGTGCTATACGTGGCATTGAGGTCTGTTGTGTGCTATACGGGGCATTGAGGTGTGTTGTGTGCTATACGGGGCATTGAGGTGTGTTGTGTGCTATACGTGGCACTGAGGTGTGTTGTATGTTGTACGTGGCACTGAGGTGTGTTGTATGTTGTACGTGGCATTAATCCCAATAATTGATTACTTTTAAAAATTGCCCCCACTATCTCACACTTCAAAGTGGAGACCTTACAGTCAATGGCGTAGCTAAGGTTGGCGCCGCACTGAGTCGTTCAAGCTTTTTTTCACCCCACCTCACCCCACCCTCCATTTTCCGCGAAAAAAACCCATCTTCAATTGGCCCTAAAATGCCGCCCCACACATTAATGAAATAGTGGCGCCCGGGGCGGACAACGCCCTCTCCGCCATGCCCCCTCCTACGCCACTGCCCACAGCTAAACTATTATACATGAG